ATAGAAAGTAAAAGACGTGTGGTCAACGAAGAATGAAGCACGGAGTTGACCTTTTCCACAACCCGACATTTGGTGTACGTCAATTCCAATATTTTCGTCTCCTTCGACAAATTATGGTAACGAGGGAGTAATATTACTCATTTCGTCTGATACGTTTTGTTTTTAAAAAATTAAATAATTTTAGTTTGATAAAAAAATCCTCAATTAATTGATTAAAGTAGACCCTGACTAAAGCCAAGGAACCTACTTTAATTACTATCAAGATAAATTTCATATATATGTCGAACCAAATATACACATGATCAATTAAGCTATTTCCTCCGTCTCATTTTATGTGGCAATATTTGATCGTGCACGAAATTTAAGAAATAAATGAAAACTTTGAAATGTTTATCAAATTATCTTTAAAAAAGTAGACTTACTTTTTTCTCTCCTCATAAATATATTGGAGTATTATTTTAAGATTAAGTGGACTAACAAGGGTAAAAGAGGAATTGTACCTTTAAATACTTACCATATAAGGAAATGTGACATTTTTTTTGGGACTGACCAAAAAAGAAATGGTGACACATAAAATGAGACGGAAGGAGTATATAATTAGGATATATCTTAGAAGATTTTTTTTTTTTTGTTTTGTTTTTCATATACGTTATTACTTATTCCCATGGCGTTTCATTAATACAAATTCATATTTATAGTATCCACTTAAAAAAGCACTTTATTGGTATTTATATATATTATCATATACATATCTATATGAAAGAGAACCTTTGGCTCGCCTACGTGACGCCATCATAAATCAGAATTCCCTTTTAATTTATTTATTTTCAAAACTAGCATTTTCCTTTCATGAAAAGTTGTGATTTTTATGAAGAGTTGCGACTTTTATGAAGAGTTGCGACTTTTATGAAAAGTTGCGACTTTAATGAAGAGTTGCGACTTTTCTGAAAAGTTGTGACTTTTATGAAAGGTTGTGACCTTTTTGAAGGGTTGCAACATTTCCAAATAGTTGTAACCTTTTCGTTAAGGCACAATAAACATTTGTTCACACTGCTCTTTGTTGTCTATAAATAGAGGGATTTTCTCTCATTTTAATTTTAAAACAACGAAAATTCTGAACCTCTTCTTCTTCACAATTAAATATTTATGTACTTTGCTCATGTTGAATGACTCACTCAGACCATTGCTTATGTTACAGATCCTGATATGTATTTTTACAGTCATTAATTTATGCGTATGTTATTAAGGATAAATGATACGATTTACTAATTTTCATTTTCCTTTACATTATTAATGTTTGTTATCACGTAATCTTGCATGTAAAATAATATAGTATTTTAATTTTAATGACGGATAAGTTTTAAGTATTATTTCATAAATTCTGTGATACTAAATTCTCGCGCGAAGCACGAATAATTTTACTAGTTATATATATTTAAAGTTTGAATACAAAATTTTTAATACAAGACGGAACAATACTATATATGGATGCCATCACAATTCACTACCTACACGGAAAGACGAGTAGATAGGAAATGGTGAATTAAAGACATAGTGATGGTGCAAAAAAGAATGAACAATATGGGTCGTGAAAAGGAAAGTATACATACATATAAATTTTAATTCAGCACGAAAAATATTATGAAGTGGATAAAATTTCTCCTTTCTTAATAAAAGATTTCGAGTTATGATTTTATTTTTGATAGGGAGCACTTTTTCTGCCCCCGAATGGAACCTAGGCAACGTAAATCTGAAATGGTCAAGCTTGAATGCGGACATCCAGCAACGGGTGAAAATTAAAATAAAATATTTTTTTAAATTGACTATATATAGCAGGACTGCATGAGTAGTAATAATTAAAGTTTAAAATTAGGCACGCTCCACAATGCACACATAATTATATCATCACTCACGATTAAATTCTACCAGTTGACCAAGGACCACACGCCGTAGCTTACGTACATCAATCAAAAATATCTACAGTTTTTTTTCTTATATAGATAGATAACGGATAAAAATAATCTATATTTAAATTTAAAAATATATACTACTCTCTCCGTTTTAAAAAGAGTGGTCTGGTTTGATTTGACATAAAGTTTAAGAAATTAAAGAAGACTTTTAAATCTTGTGATTCTAAATTAAAGTTATGTCAATGTACAAAATTGCCCTTAATCTTGCGGTCTTAAACATGTCACGTAGAAAGCAAAAAGTAAAATATTACCAAAAAAAGAAAGAGTTCAATCTTTTTTAAACTGACTAAAAAGGAAATGCGGTCATTCTTTGTGAAACGGAGTGAGTATAATTTACTTATAATTTAGTGATATGAATGGATGTATACGAAGATCTAGACATGTAGATTATATATATTTCTGTTGGTATAAATATGAGGTATGATTAAATTTGTAATTAAGGGTGTTTTTCAATTTTCTCATGTTTGGTTGGGTTAAATGTTTTAGAAAATATTTTCCAAATCAATTCATTTTCCTCAAATTTAAGGAAAATGACTTTTCTTCAAAACTTAAGGAAAACATTTTCCAAACTCTCTTCCAACTTTCAATTAAAAAAAAAATTGTTGAAAAAATCAATTTATTTTGTCCCTACACTCAAACCAACCCCCAACCACCCACCCAAAAAAATAATAATTTAAAGTTTGTTTTTAAATTCAATATTTTTATCCCATCCTCACCCTACCCCCACCCCCTACCACCACCCCTCCCAAAAATATATTAAAAGTTGTTTTTAAAAGATATTTCTAATTTCAATTTTTTATTTTTTACCCCCACTCCCTACCCTCGCCACCCCCCCAGCCCCTATCAGCCCCCACCCCCTTCAAAAAGAAAAAAATTTAAGTTTGTTTTTAAAAAATATTATTTCATTTTTTTCACCCTTACCTTCGACCCCCCTACCCATTCCCCCACCCACACCCCCTACCAGTCCCCTCCACTCCCCAAAAAAAAATTTAATTTTGTTTTTAAAAAATATTTTCGACTTCAAAATTTCATTTTCTCACCTCTACCCTCAACCCCCCCCCCCCCCCCCCACCTCCCAAAAAAAAATTTTAAGTTTTGTTTTTAAAAAATATTTTCGACTTCAAAATTTCATTTTTTCACACCTACCCTCGACCCCCCCACCCACCCACCCCCTACCAGCCCCCCAAAAAAATAAAATTTAAGTTTGTTTTTAAAAAATATTTTCGACTTCAAAATTTCATTTTTTCACCCCTACCCTCGACCCCCCACCCACGCAACCCCTACCAACCCCCTCATCCCCCAAAAAACAATTTAAGTTTGTTTTTAAAAAATATTTTGAACTTTAAAATTTCAATTTTTGACCCCTACCCTTGACCCCCCCACCCACGCCCTACCAGCCCCCCACCTTCCAAAAAAAATTTTAAGTTTTTTTTTTTAAAAAAATATTTTTAACTTCAAAATTTCAATTTTTCGCCCCTACCCTAGATCCCCCCCCCCCCCCCCACCCCAAAAAAAATTAAGTTTGTTTTTAAAAAATATTTTCAATTTCAAAAATTATTTTCTACTCTAGTAAAACTAAAAGAAATTTTTCAAAAACATTTTTCATTCATAAATCAAACACAAAAAATCTTTTCCGAAAAATATTTTCTACTCACTAACCAAACATGAGAAAATAAGTCAAAAATCAACTTGTTTTCCAAGAAAACATTTTCTAGGAAAACATTTTCCTTCGTACCAAACACACCCTAAATGATTATTGGACTAATTTGTGCTACTTTAACTATTGTATTCTGTTTTAATAATATTCTAGTGTATATATATATATATATATATATATATATATATTTGCTGCGTTGCACCAAGAAAATCGTACCGTTCATTATTGCTCCATTTATGTTGGATACTCCTATATATTACTACTATTTTTAGTTTTATCCAGCATCATTATAAGCCGGCCACTAGGCTACAGCCTTTTCCAACATTATATCAATGAAGCATCTTTTTGTTTTTGTTTTTCATTTTGGGTTTAAACTTTAAACAGAAAAGTAAGAAACAAAAACAAACAACAAAACAAGAAAATATTAAAAACAAATTATTTTGTTTTTTTTAATTAATTGTCGTTGTTTTGGTTAATAGGATAATTTTTTGCTTAAATGTCGTTACTTAGATTAATATTCCAATATATCATGTATGTTATAGCATGGATGCAAAGAACGTTGTCCCAATCATTCTACATGTATGCTAGCTGGATTAGCATTCACCAAAATCATGATAATTCATAATGCTCTAGCCTTTTCCAACATGATCAATCAATGAACCATCTTTCCTTTGCCAATAATTTTGACTAAGATCAAAATAATAATAATAATGGATTCGCGCTGAAAAGTCCTATATCAGGTAAAATATATTTTAACAAAGATGATGGCATACCAAGGAAACTCGAATTCAAGATTGTTGATCCTTGTTCCATTTCCCTTTTCTTTTTCAGGAGACTTACAACTTTCAAGGCCTACCACCACAAATGGTTTTGATCATTACACCAGTTCAATTAGGGTGGCAAAATTTGTCTAAATGGATCATAAAATCCGGTTAATATTTTCCAACTGATTAAGTTACGGCTTGTTATTTGATTCATTAACTCTATTCAATTTATTTTGATTCGAGACACATTGAATTTTTACTTAATTTAATTTAAATCATTTTGATCCGTCCAAATTTGGTACAAACATGTTTGCCACGCCTAGCCAAGTTATTCTTTTCTAGCTATCAAAGTATTACGTGAATGAAAATCTGTAGCGATTAATTTAGGAGTACCAATAGGTTATTAATCCTTCTCGAAACGGATTAATAATACTTAATTAATTAGAAGTAGTTGGAAATTTTGAAAGAAGCAAGAATATCCAACTTTATTGTTTCGACTTCTCTTTTTTGGATGGCCGTGACTTTATTTGATCGATGGTATAAATTAAGAAAAAAGAGAAAATGCATCTATACATTCAATATATAGTAAAGAGAGAACACCTGATCTTAACAAACAAAAAAATAGAACTTTATAATACATTTGGTATAAGTCAACACTACAAATTACAGAGTACCGCGGAAGTATGGATCACCAAAAAATGAACTAGAGAATGTGCCACCAAGGTTAGGGAAAAGTGTTAGGAAACACATCAAGAAGAGTACACAACCCCAAGCAAATCTCTCATTTCCAAGTGGGGTGATCTCATCTTGTGCTGGGACTTCCTCACCTCCGCGGAAGAAGGTTGCAAACAGTCCCCATGCCAGACATAGCACGCTTCCACTTAGACCACCTATTCCTAGCAATAGGGAAGTCGCGAAAGATAGCAATGTAGCTGTGCTCCTGCCAAACATAGCTTGTGCAATGCGCCCACCTTCTAGTCTTCCACATGGTAACAGGTTTAAAGATGTAACAACCATACCTGCAAAAGAAGCCATGACCACAATGAAGTGAGCAGATGTTGTGGTGCCAATTCATTCTCAACACTATAAATGTAATCAAATGCTTTCAGATCACACAATAACTTGCTGAAAGAAGTCGGCACAAAAATTTTTTTTTTTTTTTTTTGAGAAACTCACCTAAAAGTCCAGCAAAAGCAAGGGGATCAACAGGAACTCCCACACCTTCAACAGCATAAGGTAGCACATTCCCAAGATCATCAGTATATGGTCCAATAACGTATTGAATGAAGGAGAACAACGGATTGTTATAAAAGAACTGAGGTCTTATGTACCTGAAAAAAGAATAGAGGACAATAAGCAGAAGTAATATAGAAAAGACTGCAGAAGAAACAGGACAATCAAATTAATAAAATCCACGTTGAAGAGGTTAGGCAGGAAGGAGACAAGTACGATATACTTAAAAGTTTCTCATAATGGCATATCGAATTTGCTCGTTAAGCAATGTAAGTAACCAAAATTTGCATTCCATATGTAAGTGTCTATGGGATACAAAATTACTCTAGTGCAATGCACCATTTTAAGGCAAGGCAATATTAATCACTTACAATGCATTGTCGCCTCCATTAAAGCTTCCATCAGCCACAAAAGCAGCAACTGCAAGTATTAGCGATGTCAAGTATGCACTTGCTGTACGAGCAACTGGAATATCAAATAGAGCCTTTTTATTTGGTAGCAGGGACTCGTAGTTATTCATAACACCCAGGCACCCAGTCCAATTGGATGGAACAAGAAAAGATGGACTAAGTTTGACACCATAGCGCGCAGCAGTTACTCTTGTGGTTACCTGCCATGCATCAAGAAACATAGTAATTATTAAGCAAAACACAGACTTGCTCATCATGATATAAATCAATTACATCATAGTATGAAGTTGTAAAGGCTACAAGCTCGGAAATATAAAGATGCGACCACAAATAGCTACAAATAAACCAAGTGGTAAGTTGCATCAATATTAGATCTGTGTAATCACTAATCAGCCATTTTTGTAATAAACCAGTTTCTCATATTCAGCATATAAATATCTATATTATAAAAATTCTGAATTTACTCGCAACACATCATGTCAATCCAATAGTACGACACACACCGCATAACTTACACTTACTTCATGCTTGAGTGTTATCTAAAGGTCAAAAGTTATGTTGATCCTTATGTTGTACCAATAGCTGAAATGAGACTTTAGTAGAAAAAATCATTTACATGGCAAAAAGAATTTCTAAGAAACCAAATATTACAAACCTATGATATTAACAAAAAGCAAACTTGAGATTTGATTTAAAGTTTTCATGAGATTTAGCCATCAACTCACACGATTTAATGGAGAAATACAATGCATACCTCTGAAACTCCCAAAATGGTCAAGAAGCCACCAAAAAGGGGTACAACGTTGGCCAAGTAATCATCAATCGTAGCATCAGGCTTAAGGAAGAAACCACTGGTCAAAGCTATAGTGCCAAAAGTTGTTACGGCCAAAGATACAGCACTGATGTATCCCCAAGGAGTACTTAATTTGGTTGATTCAAATTCAAGATCCATCTCTGACTTGGGTTGTACCACACAAGCCTGAGAACGAAAAAAGAACATCGACAATATTTGTCATTTACACAGGCAACCAAATGGAATATTCACTAAAATCATCTGAAATGACACGAGTTAGGATTTTTGCCCACACAAATAAATGAATCTCATGCGACTATCAAAGAATATATACTGTAATGAATGGAATTAATTAGGAGGTTCATTACAGAGAATTATTCTTCTAACATATCAACTACACCATTTCTTTTTCATTTTTCTGGACTCCATTAGGTTGAGCTCTTCACCTACATCAGTATCCTCCTTCCTAAAGTAGATGAATTCTCCGAAATCAATACAACATGTAAAAAATCAAAAGCACTAAAGTGAATTTGGCGTTCCGTAGCTGATAACTTCACAACTTCCTTAAACCAAGTAACAAACATCCTCAACTAATCATAGTGTAGTCCATTCACAGAAACCTTAAGCTAATAGTGCATAATGAAACAGTCATAATTATCTTTTAAACATTTAAAGCATACCTGCTTTACAATATCATTTGTCTTTTCCTCCATAAACCACAAGACGACCTCCCGTCCAGCAGCCTCTGATAACTTCTTCTCCAATTTGGGTATTACTTCATCAATAGGCCTCCTCAAGTTCCCAATGAAAATGCCCCCATCTCCAAATCTCCTCACATCAGTCGTGAAGAACGTATCAAAGCCAAAGCAATTCCTTAGCTGCCAAAGAAAATTTATACAAACATCAAGATACAGAGAATAGATCTCTAAGATAATCAAGTAGCTATTAACAAGTACAACATAACAGCCTAACCATGTATACAAGCACAATTAGCCCTCACTGAATAAGCAGCTCCATTTAAGTTCATCTTAGACTCATATTATATTTGAACCTAGGCTATCGGAAACAACTTTTCTACCTCTAGGGTAAGGTCTGCCAACATCCTACCCTACCCAGGCCTCACTTGGGACCCCACTTATGACTTATGGGACTACACAGGATATGTTGTTGTAGTTATTAGACTGATTTTATACAACAACAACAACAACTGCTTAACACATGCAAAAAGTGTTTTTTAAAAATTAGGCCGCACCAACTCTGAACAAACTGACTTTAAAATTTGGATTCGCCTCTACGTATAAGGTCCGAAGAAACGAATGGACTACACCATTTAAACAGAAAATTACCTTATTAAGATCAAGAGCTACAAAAGCTTCCTCTGCTTTTTCCAACCTCTCTTTCTCTTTGGACAAACTAACACGAACCAAATTTTTAAAGAAGCCCACTAGTGGGTTGCTAGTGGTTTCACTATCAAGCTCTTTCAGCTTCCTATCAGCTCTCTTTTTCTCAAGTTTTATAGCAGCCTCAATTGAGGGATTCCCCATAAACTTCTTGAATTCCTCATCTGTTTTCCAATCCATTTCTTGCTGTTTCTCCCTCTCTATCCTCTCAGACTCAGTCTCATGCTGAGCACCACTCTCACCCTCTTGAATATGAGCATCATTCTTTGGAGAATCATTTTCTTCTGAAGCTACAGCCACAGAAGAAGAAGATGAGGGTTCATCTTCTTCGGCAGCTTTAACATAAAAATTCAATCTTTTTTTGTAAGGAACATAAAGATTCAATCTTTTTGGGTTGTACGAGGAAAACGAGAAGAGGGTATTTCGGCAAATTGGGTTCTTGGAAATTGAAGAAATAGGAGGTAGGTAATGGGGCCTCCTGTTTTTGAGGGACCAAGAAGAAGAAGAAGATGAAGTAGCAGAAAGAGTTGCCATGTGGGTGTGATGAAAAATGCTCTGAACTGAAATTGAGTTCTTGGAAATTGAAAAACATTGTGGAATCCATTTAAGGAAGAGCAGATTTCGAGTGGAACGTGAAAGAGAGACATCTAGAAAGTTGGAGAACAAGTACAGGTGCACTGTGTTCTACAGAAAGTGACAATGAAATTGAAAAATTGGAACCCCACAGTGATATTTTTGGATAATAATAAGATGCAGAAAATTTTGTGGTGTAGTGAGATTGGATTATATATTGTGCTTGATATAATTCCTACAAGTCCAAATAAATTTGAGCTCAGTCACATCAACATTCGGATATACTGAAGGCAAAAGAAAAGAGGACAAGTGGCAGGATATGAATTTTACACTTCTTCTCGAGGTCTAATTGAAAATAACTTTTCTATTTTTCCCCAAAATATAGATTTCAAGATTCTAACTAAACATGTTACTGTTATTGTTTTATAGCTTTGATTTTTATAATCATATTTATATTTTTATAAGTGAATATCCGGAGAGAAGATGCATTGAAAAATCGAAACCATACTTTTATTCAACATAATAAAGTAAATTCTGTTGAAGCCAACAAAAAGAAGTATATACATCCCTATGAAAAATTTACCCTTTCTACTGTGTATATAGAGATCAATTTTCGTACAAAGCATGAGGAAATAAATATTTATTATGAATCCATACACGTCCTAAAAGTTCTTTCCTGCTACAAATATTGTCGCACTTCTCTTTCCCTGCTTTAAATCTACCATCCTTGAAAGAGTAGTGAATGTAATCACCATTACTGTTGAATTTGGGAAAAAGAAGTGCATCGTCGAATCCTGCTAATTTTGTGCTATGCATGAAAAAAGATGAGGCTTCACTGATGAAAATAAGCCATGTTTTGAACTCTTTTATTAACTTAACCGTATTTTGCACAACATTGAGTTGATAAACACGAACATGCTCTCGTGTCTGGCCGCCAACAATCACTGAGTAGAGTAAATTTTGCTCATCACACTTGACCAAGAAGTTACGGCAAACAACAGAAGGAAGGCAGGGTTTGTATAGATGAGCAATCTGTTTGATCTGCCAGTTGGCGTGCACGCCAAGGAGGAAACCAAATACACCTACATTGCCATTCTGGCCTATGACAAAAAATTCATGACCCGAGTAGACAGGACTAGAACATGAAAGTAGAAAAGGTATTCCCTCATTGTTCATTATCATACTAGTCCAAATGTCATCTCCTGCTCTCAAATATGAAATCCTAACGCGATATTTGTCCAAACTGACTATTCCAATGATTATCCAGTTTGGTGAATCAAATGGTGAAGCTGAGAATGACAAAGTGTCACAACAGTAATCTTCAGTTCGATCTGGAAGTTGTATTATTCGTTTGCTGAAAGGCTCGATGAAGAAGAGTGATCTTGGACCTCTAGAAACAAGAAGTACTCCATCTTTTGAATAACGGATTTCACATCCTGCTAACTCATTGTTGTTCATAAAACAAGTCAAGTTAGTAAATGGATTATACACGGTGCACAAACCATCTTCTTGGTTTATACTTAGAAGCCAAACACAATCTTGAAGGGACGATCCAGAAGAATGAGTACTATTCACATCAACCTTCCAGCACATGCGTGGAGCAAGTGATTTCCATAATTTAGATACACTACGAAAATTCATATAAGAGTGCGCGTCTTGAATAAGTAAGTATCGGGAAATTTCCATTTGAAGGTCCAAAGGAAGTAGGTCACAGATGTTATTATTATTGGGCTGAACTATTTGCTCCTTAGTGTTGCGCCAATTAACCTGAGTTAATTCATCTGACTTATCTTTCAAATCGTCGTCTCCAGCATTCTGTTGTGTTTTGAATATCCCCGGCCTGAATTGAAAATGACAAATTATCAGAAATCAATTAAACCAAACCAGCAACAATTGAAAGAAAAAAACAGGAATTGATTCGATGCTTACATCAATGAAGGAACTGAATTATAAGCGTTATGGATACAAATGTTCTCCTGGGGAGACACGAATATACTTTGATCCTTAAAATCGAAGGCATGTAATTCTTCCCTTTTACTTATGCAGTGATCATGATCATCCTCAGTAAAATAGACACAGTTTCCTTGATCAGGCGCGTATATTGCAGAGGAATATCCTCTGCTTAAAAAGATATATATCCCATTCAAATCGAACATTCTGCTGAATTGTTTGGTGGTCAAGTCCACATTCCACACCTCAATGACAGAAGGTGAGCCCAATTTTTGTTGAACCAGAAGCAATTGGTTCTGGTAAGAAACCAATTGTCTCCTCTTATACATAGCAATTTTATCGGTAGGTACTGTGGACAACAAATACGGAGCAGTCATGGTTATCTTCGGTCCATCTTCTATGATACCTAGTTTACCATTCATACATATAGTGTATATACACTTGCCGTTGAGGAATTCAACAGCATCACACAATCCAGACGTCCAATTCCTGCTGAATTCTATAGCTTCCCATTGGGCGTACAAAGGAGGGCGACAAACTAGAAAACATAACTCTCTTTTCAAAAATACAAAAACAGTGCAGAGGTAACCATTCAATCGCGGATTTTTGTTTCTTCTTTTTTTGTGATGGGTGTGTAAGCTTTGAGTATTATGAGTAATAGAGGGAATGAGAATACACTTCAATAGTTTCGTCTTAACAAAGTATTTGAAGTCAGGAATTGGAGGAAGTTGAATTTTGATGTGGTATTTCTGGCTCCAAATAAAACATTGATGAGAAAAATTATCAAGAAAAAAGCTCCACTTGTCCTGAAAAGCTACGCACATTAAACCTTCTCTGTTAACATCAAGAGTTGTGTGCTCCATTGCTGCTGAAACTGAAATACAATAGTAATTGTGTTTTGGCCTGTATTTATGATAATGCATCCACAATTAACATTCGGAAACCAATATTTGTGCGGTAATTCATGACCTAATCCTATTCGGATTCCGACAAAAATTATAACTGCCTAATCAAATTATTTCCTTTTCCAACCTTAATAATAAATGTGAATTAAGCAAAAATACATAATTTGCTCAGAAACAGCTCTGTTAATAGTATGATCTAAAAATATTTATTGGGTCAAAAATATACTTCTCCTAGTAAATATATTAGTATCTTTTTCCTTTTAAAAAAAAAATATATTTCATCGCTAATAAAATATTATTATTAAAGAACTCAATTTTTATTTGTAAATAATCTTATTTTCTTAATTTTATTTTAGCGGTTAAAATATAATAATTTCATATACTTTTTAGGTTATTTTATATAAGATCATAACAATCTCATCATTAATTTTCACATAAATAACGATTAACGATTGTATATATATAAAAAAAAAAAAGGACAATTTTTGAATAATTAATTAACATTAAAGTACTTTTGGACCAAACTATTTATTATAAAGATATTTTAAAACCAAACTATTAACCAAAGATATTTTTGTTCATATATTTCATAACCAAACTATTAACTAAATATATTTTAATTTATTTTTACATGAATAGGAATCCTAATATTGTCACACCTTTTTTCGCGGGAGAGGTAGTGATATCCTCCTCCTTTATTCTTCTCCGTAACATTATATGTAGTTAGGGGTGGCAAAATCAAGCCCAATTCGATCCAATTCATTTAGGTTTGGATTGGTTATTGACCCACTCATTTGTTAGCTCAATTCATCTCACCCAATTCATTAAAAATTGGGTTGATATGTAACTCAAATTGATTTTTGAGAAATCTTGTCAAAATATTATTACAAACCTTCCTTTTTGTTTTATATGTTACATATAGTTATAATAAAAGAAAAAAAAAATTCATTAGGTACTAAAAGCTTATAAAATAACAAATAAAGCTATTAAAACTTAGTAAAAATTGGACCGATTGGATAATGACCCGTTACCAACCCACATATTTCTTATTTGAGCAACTTTCACATATAGCAAACACAAAATTCATATTCGTATGCTATTGCAAACTTTGCATAATTGCGCTCCATAGCAAACATAAATATGTATATTTCGCTATACATATACAAAAGAAAGCAGTTGTATAATCTGTTTTGGTATACATATACAAAAATATCAATTGTATAAAGTGAGAGAGGCGAGTGAGCGAGCGAGCGAGATCTGGGAGAGTGGCGAGTGACATCTGGGAGAGTGGCGAGTGAGATCTGGGAGAGGGGAGAGAGAAGAACGAAAATATATGTATATACACAATTTTCACGCATTTTATACATTTGCGTTTTTGTATAAAGTGAGAGAGGGAAGTGAGAGAGCGAAATCTGGGAGAGTGGCGAGCGAGATCTAGGAGAGGGGAGAGAGGGGAACGAAAATATATGTATATATACAATTTTCTCTCGCTTTATACAAACACAAACGCATTTTATACAATTTGCAGTTTTTGTATAAAGTGAGAGAGGCGAGTGAGAGAGCGAGATCTGGGAAAGTGGCGAGCGAGATTTGAGAGAGGGGAGCGAAAATATATGTATATATACAATTTTCTTTCGCTTTTTACAAACACAAACACACTTTATACACTTGCGTTTGTATAAAAAACGAGAGAGGCGAGGGAGAGAACGAGAGTGGCGAGCGAGATTCACCAGGAGAGAGGTTAAATGACAATAGTTTGCTATGGGGTACAATTAAATCAAACTATATTTATAGCATTTAATTTAAATTAATAGTTCGCTATTATATACAATTTTCCCTTCTTATTTTCTTGAAGCGTATAACATCTTTTACTGAATTTGCTAATGCGATCATTAAAAATGAAAATAGAAAGAGGAAAAAAAAGAAGGAAAAAGGTGGCAGCTGAGTGATATTGTGTTCTTTTAGATGCTCAACCATTGAACTGCTAGTCTGCTACTCATTTTGATGGAGTCCACCACTAAATCTCTTCACTTTACCCTCTACAAAATTTACCACTCCAACTCCATAAACCCTCTTCCCCAATTCAATCATCTTCATTTCAAATTCCGTCCCATCTCTACTTTTCGCCTTCAAGCTTCCAGACGCATTTCCAATTTTTCTCAGGTGAATATTCCTTCCTTGCTATCCAGTAAGTTTTTTAAATTTAAATTAATGTTATTAATGCTTATTTCGGATTTGGAATTTGATTTTCTTAGGGAGGTGATGATTTGATCGGCGATTCCCGAAATTGGAGCCGTCATCGAGGCTCAGGCAACATAGTGACCGGAGATCATGATGAAGATGAAGATGATGAAGACGAAGAAGAGGAAGATCGAAGTTTGGATCTACTCGTTAAATTTGTACAGAACGTTTTCAAGAAGCTTTCTCGAAAAGCTAGGAAAGCTGTTCGCTCCGTTTTGCCTGATTCAATTTCTAGTCAATTGGTATTCTTTTGCTTAAATCTCATTATATAGCGGTTTAGTTTAGCAAAATCAAGTGTTTTTATTAATTCTTTCAACGAGTTTAGAATAATAACTCTGATATTGAAATTGAGCTCATTTATATATCAATCAATCAACTATGTTTCTGGCTTAAAATTATTCAGGGTCGACTATAGACATTTAAGTTCGTACTGTTGAGATATATCATATTTCTTTTAGCAAATCCAAACGGTATGAACCTTGTTTTGTTGCAAAGAAGGAAAACTAATGGATTAGGTGTGCTTGTTTGGACCTTTGACATTGGGAGGGGAAATAATAAAGGAAAACAAAGACATAGTAGCAAGATGATTACCTACTTCAGTAATCATGTTAGGTGTTTAAAGTATCTCTGAGCCTGTCTTTTCCCCTGGTGAAGGGTGATTTGATCCGCTAACTTGTAATCAAAGTTACTTTCTTTTTAGTCCACCTACACTGAGATTATAGGATTTTTTAATTTTCTTTCTTGGATGTAATGCTTTTCATTGTCCTGGTAAAATTGCCTTTAGAACGACTAGAATTACCTCCTCTTTGCTTGAAAAGCTAAGGTTGTCCTGACTGATGCTCACAAAAAAAACACAGTAGCATCCCTTATCAGTTCTGTAATGTGCTTCAATATATATAAGTTTTTCAGCATTATTCTATAGCTTTGTTCTTACACCAAAAAGAAGCAATCTAGACAATGTGCCTTATCCTACTGATTGATTTCTCTTTAGTTTCAAAGTACCTTGAGCACCTTCCTCTCCACTATGGATAGGATTTCATTTTCCTCTCATTATAAACCTTGATAACATCATAACATCAACGACAAAACAGCAATCATGCTAACAAATGTTACACCTAATACCCTAGTAAGTTAGCCTGTGAAGACTAATGCATCTTTAAAGGTATATCATTAAAAATGGCAGCAAATGGTTATGATCTTAATGACTCAAAAGATGTAAGATCTCAGCGATTCTGATTGGAATTCACATCACACAGAGTGCCATTGTGGATCAATTTGGAGTAAAACCCAAGATTCTTATGATCAACTGTAACTAACATGAAAAAGCCTCCTTTTACTAAGTCAGAATTACAATGTTAACTCTTCTTGTTAGCCTGATCAATGCTCAAAGTGTGAATGCCTGCTCTCTAAGGAAGTTTAGCTAATATAATTGTAGTTTTGATAATATAAGGAAGTTGTCCTGATTATTGTTGGAGACCGATACCATTATTATTCTTTTGGTTTTTTAATGCTTTCTCTGTTGTAGTTTTGGTTCTCATTTATTTAGATCCATGTTTCTATATATTATCTAAGTATTAACTCAATAGCAAGTAGACCACCTGCTTTTGTTCCGTGTATCACATAGTTAGCCATATTTCCCTCTCCATTGAAGACAAGCTGATTAGCTCTCAGTAGATTAGAATTGACGAGAAAGAAATTGAGGGAATATTGCTTCACGATGAAAAAGAAGACTATAATAGAGAACTTTGAACTTCTCTTGATGAAAATGGATGAAGCGGAATGAGCACTCCAACATGTTAGCTAACATATCCTGCAACATTTACTCCCCCAGTCAGACAGTCACTGTGCGAGGAGTTATACATTCCTTATTCAATAATTCGTTATGCAAGCTCACCATGCAATTTTTCATTTTTCTTTTCATTCTCAGCTCAAGAATTTATTAGTCTCTCAATTTGAACTGAAGAATTTATTAGCTTCTTATTCATGGATTTTTGTTTTTATATTCCAATTCTGCAATGTTTGAGAGAGTTAACCTCAAGCTTCATTTTCTATTCTGATTTCCCAATGAGTATTTCCCCTTTGTATGACTATCTAGAGTTGCACATGTGCTTTCCACATTGGCTGGTTTTTAAGTTAGTAACATGAGTTTTACTGGATGTAGGTGTCATTTTCTGTCAACGGAGTTATAATTTTGACATTTTTGTGGCTATCAAAAGCAGTTCTTGAGGTAAGTCTTTCACTTATTTTCTGTGATAAGGTGATATGTGGTACATTACTACGTAATGTACTTTCTATTCTAATCTGTCCGTTTTCGAGACACGTTCGGTGGACATGTCAGACTTCAATTAATGCATTGAGCTCTTCTAACTTTTGATTGATTCAGCTTTTTTACTCTTTCAAGTTGAATGAGTCTTGTGCTCGCTGCATTATACATACTTCCTCCATCCCAATTTATGTGATACTCTTTCCTTTTCGTATGTCCCAAAAAGAATGACATCTTTCTATATACTTTTAGTAACAATTTGATTTTAAACTTCACGTTTTATCCTTAATGAAATAATTTACTGTCAAAGAAATTTCTCATGATTGCTTTAGACCACAAGTTTCAAAACTCCCTTTTTCTTAAACTTCATGCCCAGTCAAATACCTTCACACAAATTGGGATGGAGGGAGTATACGGTTTTGTACAAGCAGACAGATTATGAAAAAAAGATTAACTTGTTTGTACTGCCAATAGCATCATACTACGGTCTAGAAGACTCAAATTGTTGATTGCTTATTATAACATAATATCTTGGGCTAATTATTGTGTCTATCATCTGAGGAATGTTTTAAACCCATAAGAAAGATTCCTTCTACGAAATTGGTGTTACTTCATTTTTTCCTCGGCAGCATGAGAAAATTTTCAATTGTAAGCCTGCTTAGACCTATTTGTTGTTACTACTCAGTTTTCACTTCAACATTTTCTGCAGTGTATGTCCCTGTCTTTGTTGATTGATCAATTATACAGTTCTCTCTGTTAATTGAGTCTGTTTAGCAATTAGTATGAAATGAGTGTGCCCCATCTCATCTTTTTTCCCTTAGCCTGGATGACTCCTCTTTGCAGTTAATATTCCCTTACTATGGTGTTTATGGTTTGCAGGTATTTTGCACCCTTGGGAGTGTAATTTTTGCTAGTATCTTACTTATTCGAGGAGTATGGACAGGCATATCATACTTACAAAATAATCGCAACCTTAGAACAGATGATGATGATGGTCGTGCATGGAGTGGAATGCAACCTGCAAGTTAACTAACTGTCTGGACAATGAGATCCCATAGTATTATTCCTGCTAGACTGGAAAGTAGCTCATGGAGATAACAACAAGTTGAGGAACTGCAATGTCCAATGATGGCTGCTCTGATTTTATTCGGAAACAAAAAATTTCCTAACACAATAATTGGGTTAAGGCCCCAAGGTCGAAGCTTGTTAGGTCTGTGGACTGTGATGTGTAACTAGGATGTCAACTTTACTTCACAAAATTTAAACACTATTAATATGGAGCACCAATCCAGAGCGCGTTTATTTACTTGGTATTATTTATTTTGCACAGGGGGTGCCCCAAAGGACTTTGATCACGTCCAGGAAACACTAGCACTGCTTGCCATGTTATGTTTTAGATATATTTTTGGTCAACTACAGAAAGCAGAGGAACATCGAGGCTGTTACCCACAATTCACCAACTGGCCTTGCTGGTTCCGACTCCATCAGTGTCGATTCTACGGAAAACATTGACATCCAAATCCAGTCCTCCATTGATGCATCTATCAACAATTCTCAATGTTACCTGTGCCCTGTCTTAGTATTTGTCAGCCAAAAGCTAATTATTGTATTTATAAGTAATCACGACAATACGCTAATTATTGGAATTTTTTTAATCGAATATGGTAAAATAAATTGTGTATTTAGGTAAATTTTCCAATAAAAAAGCAACAACTTTCCCAATTTGTAAGTTGTAAGAATTGGATCAGTATTGGGTCCAAGGCCCACAGCCCATTTTGACCTGGCTTAACTCGAGCTATAAGGCCGAAGGTTGCATCCTTTTATGATGGGCCAATGGGCTTAAATAGAAGTTATTGGAGAGAATGGAGCTTGTTAAATCAGAAAAAAGATAGGATTTTTTTATTTTTTTTTGTAAAATAAAGACAAAACTATACTACTACTAATATAACTATAATAAAAATCAAACCATCATCACCAGTCCACATAATATGTAGCTCGGATACATTAAATACTGATTCGGATACATTAAAGAAATAAGGAATTTTAGAAATAGAAGGGAATATTGGAAATAAGGGAAACATAAGACGTGTATTTTAATAATTTTTCCTAATAATAATAATAATAATCTTGCAAACATCTGTTTTGAAACATTCATGCTTACAATCTTTATTAAACATAAATTTAGCTGCTTGGCAGTAAGTTTTTATCAAAAACTTCTTGTTATAAAGATCACCTTGAAACTTTAAAACACTTTTAACAATTGCCAAAATTTCCTTTGATAGAGTTTATGATGCCATTATATTTTCCAAATTTGATTTAAAATCAGGTTATTGGCAGATTCAGATAGTAGAGTCGGACAAATACAAAACAAGAATGGGTTATTGAAGGTGCAACCCAACCAAAAAATAATATTAATGACGAGGTTTCGGAAATTGAATAGTTTAATGATGGAACTGTTAAAATTAAATTTTAATAATAATAATAATTAATAATAATAAGATTTTAATGAAGGGTTTGTTTGGATGTGCGGTAGATGAGGAGAACATGATTATGTATAAATATTTCTCTTGATCTTTAGGAGAACTCATTTATATGCAATTAACATAAGAAAAAAACATTATATTAAATTTGATAATAAGCAAATTGCCTTCCGAAATGAGATTTTAAGTTTTAAACCAAAAGCAATTTCCAATATTACTCTAAATTTAAGCTTCATTTGAGAGTGTTGTACAAGTTAAGTTAAAAGTACTTTTCAACATTACACAAAACAATTAAAATAAGTAACTGTTTATGCCGAAAGCAGTTAATAACAAATACACGTACAGCGCTATCTAAGGGACATGTCCTTGATCAACTCAAACGAAATAAGATGGAAACAAGATAACTAGGTCCGACCTTTTTATAACAATAGTTCATTATATTTATCAAATTCTCAATATCGATTCTTTATGTTAATTATATTATATTATATTTTCTCTATAATATTTATCAATAATACCAAAAAATGTCTGAATATAGAACACCATTATAAAAAGGTTTGACCGTACATGACCTTGGGAAAAAAAGAGGGATCGAGGGTGGAATACACGATCTTTAAAGTGCATGGCAGGATTTTATGCTGTTTCTTATCCTTTAATTTTTCTTTCACATCAGATTATTACCATTTAAAATGAATTTATAAGTTATAACTAGTACATAAGAATATATTAATCAGCTCTTTTCTAATTGGAAATATTCTAAATTAAAACTACATGTTCATGTCACTTTTATTTATATTTCAAATATGTATAAAATAAAAGAACATATATAGAAAAGATAATTAGAAAAAAGAAAGTGAGATTCTTTGTTGTTTTCCCTTGTTTGAAATGAAATAAAGTTTGAATTTAGAGTGATGCACATTTGTCGGTGGATATGATTCTAATTAAGACATATTGCTTGTTTTTTAAGGTATATATGCTTTGACTTCAATTCTCTTATTTGCACCATTTAAGGAGACACCCCTAACATGAAGGAAATATTGGATAAAAAGAAAAAGGAGTCCACTACGAACGATTAATGAGGTATGAGCTACTTTTGATGTTATATATAATGTTAAAAAACATTCTCTCACTCGGAGAAATCAAAATAAGAGGTTCGGACTCATTTTTAAATTCAATAGATATTGATTGTATCGTACTACTATAGTCATAACAAAATAATATAAATTAATGTTTAGTATTCTCTTAGTTCATTTTTACTTGTTCATATTGAATTTTATATGCTCATTAAGAAATAATTATTGATATGAGTATTTTATTATAATACTTATATCAATTGGTGTTTATAAGTATTACTGAAATGGGAATAACTAATTCATGTTAAGACTAAAACATGAAAAACATAGTAATTTTTTTTTTTGATATATTAAAAATGACAACTAAAGTAAAAATCTATTTGTTGGAATAGTATATAAATAAAAAGTGAACGGAGGGACTATTAGGTCTTGAACAATGATTCGGAGAATAAGTTATTAATGATACGGGTAAAACATAAAAAAAGATAATTATCTTTTTTTTTATATGTTAAAAGTTGAACAAGTAAAAGTGCACGAAAAGATTATTTTATTTTTGCCTTTGCACATATAGTGTAATTACTTACTTTAAATAAATTAACACAATCTGATTATATAATATATATAATCCCCACAGGCCACAAGTAATTATAGATTCTTAGTACTAATAAGTTTTATAACAATAAATTATAGAGTAGCATCCATGAGTAAATGATCTATTCTTGGATTTGTTAATTAAAACAGTGGCAAAGCATCTTAATTTAGACCAAGAACTTTGGTTAGTGCTTAACCCGCATTTTGGATGGTTCTTAATCATCTTTAAATTTTGACCGGTTGTCCTTGTTTCAGAATAAATAGTCTAAACCACAGTCAAATATTTTGTTTATAAGGTCAAATAATATATAAATAAATACTATATATTATTTTGATTTTTGAAGAGCAATATTTTAAGGGCTATATTTACACCACTTTTAAAAATAGCTGAATATATCAATAATTTCTTAAAATTTCATTTATGGTTTATTTGATTAAACTTTTAAAATCAATTTATTTTAAAAAGTGTTTTACAAAAAAATACTTATTTGACTAATCAATTTAAAAGTTACTTTTGAACAACAATACGCGGTTTGATCAAGCTTTAAAAGAATATTTTTTTAGCTTATGAAAGTCTACTTCCCAAAAAATTGATCAAACACCTCACTTTTCGAAAATAACTCTTTTGTAAAAAAATAACACACTTTTAACCTCCAAAAGAAGTTAGATACTCAAACTCTTCCAATTATATAATTAACACATGATAAAATATTTTACTAGACATTTCCAACTTATTTATGATTTTTCTTATACGTATTAACAATAATTTATTATGCAGATAAAAACAGATAAAATATATCTCCTCATTTAAATATACACATCACCGTAAATCAGCCCCTGATCAATCATCATTAGACTATTTGACATACGAAAAGAAGAATTTTTAAAAATAAAATATCAGTCCAAAAATATTACTTCCTCCGTTTTAAAAAGAGTGACGTAGTTTGACGTGACACGAAATTTAAGAAAATAAAGAAGACTTTTGAATCTTGTGGTCCTAAATTAAAGTTATGTCAAATGTACAAAATTGTCTTTTAATCTTGTGTCTTAAACATGCCACGTGGAAAGCTGAAATTAAAATGTTACAAAAAAAAAATCATTCTTTTTGAAACGGACTAAAAGAAAAGGAAATCATTCTTTTTGAAACACTGGAATTATATATTGAATTTAATCGAGTTAGCTGTCCCACTTACAACATGATTTATAGAAAAGCTGGAAAGAAAAAAAAACTCACGTCATAATTCCAATTTATTACATCACTAAAAAAATGTAATAGTTTATTACTCCATTCATGTCAACTTTCAAATTTCAAGATTCAAATAAATTTATATTTGACTATAAATTTTATACATCTTTTCAATTACTAATTTTATGATTTAGAATACTTTTAAATGTTATTTTAGATTTTTTGGAGATTTAATGCCCAAAATTTATAGTCAAAGATAAAATGTTTGACTTTTGAAAATAATCCAAACTATATCATATAAATTAAGACCGATCGAGGGTTTAGAATCTTTTTAGTGTGTGAGTTGTCAGTCCAGTACTCTTTATAAATACATAGCTATTGGCTTTGTCCACTTATCTTTATGTGTCCAATTTTTCTTCTACTTAGCATTAAAAGAGAGTAGATAATGGAGGGGAGTTTTAATGTCTCTATGGGTGGAGCCATTGATGATTCTTCCAAGTTTGATGATGATGGACGCCCCAAACGAACTGGTTTGTATAAATACACAATTTTTTTAAAATTTTTTTACTAAATAAATATTTTTCAATCACTAGATCTCTATTCTTGGAATTTCTAAAGTCATTTTTCTTTATATATATATCATGCAAATCTATTTTTTCTACCTGCATTCATGAAAATTTCCCTTATAAGGGGAATCTTCAATCACATAAAAGAGGAAAAAAGGATTAGGATATTTTTTTTGAAAAAATGTAACTAAAAGGGTGTAGGTGAAGATTGTTTGA